ATTTCCAAAGTCGGACCGTGGACGTGGTACATTTCCAGACGTTTCGCCGGCATCGTAGTCAGCATCGTCAGTGAGTATCGCCATTATTAGTACTATACCACAACTCGTCAAAGAGACAAGTAAGTCTATCCTTTGACCAAACGTGTGCTAAACAGTACCTGTCATTTTCTTTTTCCAAGATATCCAGTAGTGCGGCCGGGGCCTTTTCTCCTGTGATGTTCGTATATACAGACTGTAAATCAAAGCTTACCAAAAGTTCGTTTCCTTAGAAACTGGCATCTTTGCATAATTTATATAAGTACTTCATTGTATTCGATAATCTGTCATTCACTTTCTTTAATTTGAGGCAGATAAATTTCGCCAATTTATGTGTTGGTCCAGGTTTGTTATTAACTATCACCCTCAATGGTTCCTCTCCTTTGTGCACCTTTGATAAACCGTACGCTATAGGGCTCTTGCATCCTTTCGTATGTGTCAGTTCGTTGTAGATTTGTAGAGCTCACTGTTTATATTCATTTCCTTCAGCATTTCTTGCAGTACCCCTTTGATTTCAACTGTTGGGCCTTATACTAGCAGTCGATAACTTGTAGTGTCTCCGATACTATTTTCCATTTTTGATGTATATTCCTTCCTGTCCATCACCACTGTACCATCTCCTTTGTCGGCTTGTAGAACACTTTGATCGTTTCTTTTTAATTCTCTATATACCTTGGCTATATTTTCCCTATTTATGGGTTATTGATGTGCCAATAGTGTTGTTGTATAAATTGTGAAATCCGTTAACCTAAAGGCATCTTTATTTTTGCTGGATGGTTGGACCTTGGGCTGCCTATATATTCTCTATTTATTCAGCTTCTTCTGCTGCCTTTTTTACTTAAATCTGATATCATTTTCGCCATTTTGTCTGTCGTCTTCCGACTAAAATAATGTATAAGTCTAGATTTAATATATAAAAACTTAACTAATGTTCCCCTCTCTCTATCATATGTATCTTCTCTGTTTGACATAGAAGCTCGATAAAATATAATATTTACCTTATTGGAGTGATATTTTCTCAGTAAATTGCAAAAACTAGGATATGAAATTAAGAACTTAAGGTATAGATAGGCCAGATATAGGTCACCAGTTTGTATTTTTCGTATCTGTGCCTGAAGGAGAGGTAACTGGTGTTATGTTTGACCACGTGGGATACCAGCCAAGACACACGCACACAGGAATATCATCCCAATACATCAGGGTTAGATGAAAATGTCAACTTGAGGGATGATAGAGGTGTGCTTTTAGCGATTCAAAGGGACAAAGGGAAGTAATGCATCTTCACACCAGCGGTTATGACTTAAGCCAGATAAGGAGCCCCAAAGAATTAGACACAATGTGTGTGAGAATGAGGGAGAGGATAATCGAATCATGGGTTTGAATCATAGTGAAAGGACGATTCCCAGGCACTAGCATGTGCATGGGCATGGACACGGACAGAATCTGCTATAAATCTTTGAATATGGCGTAATCAAGGACGGGAATAGAAAACTCTTAGGCAGCCAGATTTCAGACAGCCAACCAGTGAATTTGATGCTTAGCAGCAGCAAATCGACGAGCGGAGTAGGAGAAAGAGGGACAGAATGTAGTTCAGGAGCCATGCAAACAGCATTTGGTACCGGTTGTGGAGATTATTACGCTTCACTAAATCCGCTTGTAGCGACACACTCTTGTACGACATTGGGGGGAATGAGAGCACAGAATTTTGTGAATAAATGGATATGCCATCTAAATGGGTTCGACCTTGTTTTCGCAGCTCAGTGGGAGCGTCAGAGATACCTTGTGGAACGTACCTAGTCCCATATCCTCTGGCATAGTATTCGTGATTTTCAGCATTGGATCTTTGGCCGGGTACATTCCCAATCGTTTCGCCGGCATCGTAGTTGGTATCATAAGTGAGAGGCGCCATCGTAAGCTGAGAGCTACAACTTATTGAAGTGCCTATGATGGTGCCTCTTACTGACAATGTAGACTACGATGCTGGCGAAACGTTTGGGAATGTACCCGACCAAAGGTCCAATGCTAGAAATCACGAATACTATGACAGAGGATACGAAACTAGGTAAGTTCCACAAGTTCTCCCTGACGATATCACCAAGTTGCGAAGACAATGTCGAACCAACACAATAAGGCTATAAGCGACTGGTCACTTGAATATTTGATTTTTCTAGTATTGGTCGTAGTTTTATAGTTAGTTCACATGAAGGTAGACATTTTTATTTTTATAGATCTCTCTTCATTCTAATTTTTCTCTCATAATCCCGGTCTTTCCACTGGCTCTTCAAAGCCAGTATGTTTCACTGCATTACTTCTCTTGGGTATCCGTTGCAGAAGGATGGCTGTAGCTGTGATGGGACTGGAAATGAGTATTATTCCGACATTTGACTTCTTTCTGAATAATGTCTTTTTTAGCATCATATTTGAGCTAATGACTCCAACATCAAGGAACAGTAACCGCTGCTCTTCCTCTACTTCTATTGTCAATTTGAATCTTTCATTTATCTGATCTATAAAATTCAGGGAATCTTCAAATTTTTATCTTCTAAGTAAAAAATAGTCAACCAAGCACTACATGAACACCCTTTGTTCCAGCAGAGTAGTCATGACACTCTCTTCTAATTTGTTCATGTATACGTTTGCCAAAAAGTTGGGACCGACGATCTTATAGGAAATCCAAAATAATAGTTGATAGATGTTGCCATCGAATATGAAGGAGGTAGGCCTTATTGCCAAGTTGATTAGTCTTATTAACAACTCCTTCCTGATCCTGAGAAGGACCATTAGCGACTTTTTTTCAGAGCTATTTGTATAAATAGATTGCACGTAAACTCTTAACAATAGTTGTGTTTTTCCAGTGCAATGTTTTTAATTCGTTGAGAAAATTATTATAAATTCTTCACTGCGTTTGATGATCTGTGAGTTTGAAACATATGAACTTTGCCAATTTTTTCGTTATTCCATACTTATTGTCGGCTATTATTCGCTCATAAGTAGGGTTTCGAGTCTACCAGTAAATCGCATATATGAGATGTGTTCACCCTACTTAGTTTAAAAGTGATTAAAGACTGGTAGTAGAATTTTCCTACAATGATATGAGTAGACCTGACGTTTCTACTGAATTTCACATAGCCTTGCTTTCCCAAAAGATGTTCTCATCTTGAGCGGACTGCAGTTTCGACCTCGAGTAGGTTTTATCAATATCCCCAGCGGGAGTCGAACTATGACAATGCAGCATGTAATCTCGACACTACGTCACATTGCCACGAGTGCCCTAGCTTGGATCACAGGACAGATATAGTAGTCTCGAAAACCTACTTATGAATGAAAAAAGAGTAATGTAGTCGATTGTCATAACAGATGTAATTTTGCATCATCGACAATCCCATCAAAGACTATAAAATGGAAGAATTCCTGGCCTTTCTAGAAATTCACATCTACCATGTGACCCAAGGGCACTCATGGCAATGTGACGTAGTGATTAACGTGCCGAAATTACATGCTGAACTGTCATGGTTCGACTCCAGCTGGCGGTGTTGATAAGATCTATGCGAGGTCGAAGCTACAGTCAACCCTGGATGAGAAGATCTTTTGGGAAAGCAAGGCTATGTGCAATTTAATGGAAACGTTAGCTCTAATCCTATCATTGTGGGAAAATTCAACCTCCAGTCCTTCATCATCTTAAACCGAATAGGGTGAATACCTCTCATTTTGCTGACTATTAGCCTTATTGGTTTCCATTATTTGTGTAGCTTTGGAAATCCGTAGGCTGTTGGTGGTTGTGCATTCTTTCTTATGATAGATTTTACGCCCATGCATCAATTTCGCCGTTCCTATGCATATCTTTTAGTATAACACGTAAGGTTACATTTATCTTCATCGTTGGGCCCTTCTTTAATACACGATACCTTGTTCTATCTTGTTGAATACATTATATCTTCTCGCCGTATTGTTTCATGTCCATTATCATTGTCCTGCTCAATCCGCCTCAATGAATAATTTTTCCTTCATTTGTAGATCCTGCGTATCCTCGCTAATCTTTCCCAGTTTTTTGGTTTCTTATCTCTTGATATTACTGATATTATTTCTATTTCCATTTGCCGTTTTGTCTCTCCAGGGAATTTGTCGGAGATGTTTAAGGCATCTACCAGTATGTCTTCTAGAACGTTAATGTAATTTGGAAGAGAAATATTCAGCATCTTGTTTATGGTCGTAGTGGTCTTGGT